GCTTGCAGTTCCTCAACCGGGAAGGTCATGGGCTCTGCCACCACCAGGCAGGTGCTCTCAGGCTCTCTGTAAGTGTCCAGCAGACATGGTGCATTTAAAGCCTCTTGTGGGGCCAGCATTGTGGGGCAGTGGGTTAAAGCCCAGGCCTGAAGCACTGGCATCCCATATGGGTGCAGGTTCGAGACCCGGCTGCTCCACTTCTGATCCAGCTCTCTGCTAATGCACCTGGGAAAGCAGTGGAAGATGCCCCAGGTCCATCTGTCTCCGAGAGGGAGGGAGGGAGGGAGGGAGAGAGAGAGAGAGAGAGGGAGAGAGAGGGAGAGAGAGAGAGAGAGAGAGAGGGAGAGAGAGGGAGAGAGAGGGAGAGAGAGGGAAAGAGAGGGAAAGAGAGGGAAAGAGAGGGAGAGAGGGAGAGAGAGAGAGAAAGAAGTCTTCCGTGCACTGGTTCACTTTCCAAATGGCTACAATAGCCAGAGCTGTTCTGATCCAAAGCCAGGAGCCAGGAGCTTCCTCTGGGTCTCCCACATGGCTGCAGGAGCCCAAGGGCTTGGGTCATCTCTACGGCTTTCCCAGGCCACAGCAAAGAGCTGGATTGGAAGTGGAGCAGCGGAATCTCGAACCGGCGCCCACTTGGGATACTGGCACTGCAAGCCAGGGCTTTAACCCACTACGCCACAGTGCAGGCCCCTCCATCATCTTTCTTTTTAAAAATATTAATTTTTTTATTCAGAGCAGAGGGAGAGACAGACGGAAAGAGAAAGCTCCCATCTGCTGGTTCACTCCAGAAACATCTGCAATGCCAGGAACTGGGAACTCAATCCAGGTCTCCCAGGCGGGTGGCAGGGACCCGGGTATCTGACCATCACTGCTGCCTCCCAGCATAGAGGCACTGACACTAACAGGAAGAGTCAGGTTTCAAATCCAGATTGGACTTGAGTATCCTAACCAGCGTCTTGGGCACTAGGCCAACTGTGCTCCAGGTGCTTTAAGTGAGCAACAGACAATTCATCTCTCAGTATGCGCCAAAACATCTCTAAAAGTTAAGAGGTTTTTTTTGTTTGTTTGTTTGTTTTTTAGAAGGAAGAGTCAGTCAAAATAAAATGGCACGTATTCTCCTCCGATCTTCAGGCAGTCCTGAGCGTATGAAGGGCCCCGTGTTCTCATCACTTGTGCACCAGCTCATCCCTGCTTGCTCTCGCGGCTCCTTTACCTCCCTGTGGCATTTCTCAAGGTTGAGAGAAAGTACAAGACACGGCTTCTCACAGAAAGAATATGCCAGGCTCGGGTCCAGTTAGCCAAGAACTATCTGACTCCCTCCTTTCTCTCCTTTTTTTTCTTCCCTCTCCTCCTGCCTCCCTCTCCATCTTTCTTACTTTCTGTTGTTCTCTCTTTCCCTTTTCCTTTTCTTCTGTATTTAACATCCATCAGGCATAAGGCAGCTTACCATGGTTACAAACTCCTGTAAAAACTCAGAGTAACCCAGAGAGAAATCCTGGTATTCATGAGAGTCGTCTCCTAGCAAGATGTCCAGGGACCTCCCCTGAGCTCCCAGGGAAAGAGCGGCCAAGGTTGCAGGGTCTTTCTGCTTTTATTTAAATTCCAAAAGAATTCACAAATTGATGTTTCTCAATTCAAGAACTTCTCTTTCTAGGATATCTTCCCTCCTAGCCCTTGTTTGAAAGCTGCCAGTTTTGAAATGATAACAGCAAAAGAAAACAAGCAATTCAGCTTTTTTCCTGTTCTGTTCAGACTTTATGATAGTATACATTTCTGGGGCTGGCGCGGTGGTGCAGCAGGTTAAAGCCCTGGCCTGAAGTGCCGGCATCCCATAAAGGTGCCAGTTCTAGTCCCGGCTGCTCCTCTTCCCATCGAGCTCTCTGTTATGGCCTGGGAAAGCAGTAGAAGATGACCCAGGTCCTTGGGCCCCTGCACCCACGTGGGAGACCAGGAAGAAGCTCCTGGCTTCCAATCGGCGTAGCTCCGGCCGTTGCGGCCATCTGAGGAGTGAACCAGCAGATGGAAGACCTCTCTCTCTGTCTCTACCTCTCTCTGTAACTCTGACTTTCAGATAAATAAAATGAATCTTTAAAAAAAAAAGAAAAAAGATAGTATACATTTCTGGAAAGACAATAAGTTAGAGTATCTTTTTTAAAAAGATTTATTTATTTATTTATTTGAAAGCTAGAGTTACAGACAGTGAGAGGAGAAAGAGAGAAAGGTCTTCCTTCTGTTGGTTCACTCCTCAAATGGCCACAACGGCCGGAGCTGCACCGATCCAAAGCCAGGAGCCAGAAGCTTCTTCCTGGTCTCTCATATGGGTGCAGGGGCCCAAGCACTTGGGCCATCTCTACTGCTTCCCCAGGCCATAGCAGAGAGCTGGACTGGAAGAGGAGCAGCCAGGACTAGAACTGGCACCCATATGGGATGCAGGAGCTGCAGGTGGAGGTTTAACCTACTGTGCGCCGGCCCCAAGTTAGAGTATCTTAAAATAGATCATCACTGAAGGTTTTAATTTCACCAATTTGTGTTTGTGTGTGTGTGTGTGTGTGTGTGTGAGTTTCATTCCTTTTTATTGAGCATACACTATTCTTGATATCGTGGGATGTGCTCTAATCTACTGCAGGGGTTTTCTCCCAGGAGCTCACTTTCTGGGAAGTCAAGGGATCCACAGACAGTTGCATCCTTTCCAGGTCTGAGGCACAGCGGAGCCCGGGATGCCTCAGGATCTCAGTCTGTCTGACCTCAGGCCGGCTGCGGGAATCTGCCAGGTGGTTCTCTGCAGTTTGGCACAGTCCAGCTCACAGGTCTTCTCAAGGGCCTGTTCTGGGAGAGCTGAGAGCTCAAACTCCCTCTGGAAGAGCCCTCCTCTCTGCGGCTTCCTGATCTAGAAGGAAGGAAAATGGGCTAGGAAAATTACCTCCAGGAAATGAGCTTTGTAAGAACCCGAGAGCTTTTTTTTTCTGCCCTCATTGATTCTTCCTAATAACTCTTTTTTTAAAAAAAATACTTATTTATTTTATTTGAAAGTCAGTTACACAGAGAGGAGAGGCAGAGAGAGAGAGAGAGAGAGAGAGAGAGAGAGAGTCTTTCATCTGCTGGTTCACTCCCCAGTTGGCTGCAATGGCTGGTGCTGTGCTGATCTGAAGCCAGGAGCCAGGAGCTTCTTCCAGGTCTCCTGGACTTGGTCATCTTCTACTGCTTTCTCAGGCCATAGCAGAGAGCTAGATAAGAAGTGGAGCAGCTGGGTCTCGAACCGGTGCCCATATGGGATGCCGGCACTGCAGGCAATGGCTTTACCCACCATACCACAGCACCGGGCCCCCTAATAACTCTTTGAAGGGCTAAATCTGCTTTAGAAGGGTAACTTGCTTCTGATGAGAGTAAGTAGAGCCTGCAGGTGCTGCTCATGCCATTTGCACCTCACCCCACCCTGTCTGTCTGGGACCAACGGCCAGGCTCTGCTGCCCTCAGACTCCGAGGTGCGTTTGACTGATGGGAGGCACTTACAGGAGGGCAGGGTGGGAGGGGAGGCTGGGAGGAGAGAGAGCTCAGGGTGCTTCTTACCACTGCCAGCTCCTTCAGTGCGTGGTTCTGGCACCTCTGGCACCGGCTGCTTCCTTATCAGCGACAGCTCCTGTTTCGCGGCTCTTCTCCAGGACTCAGGCCCCTTCCTTCACTCCTGTAAGGCTAGGGGTGGGATTGTCTTCCCAGTATTGCTAACCTTCCTGTTGGCCCTAAACTCTGCCCTCATCCGTGGACACTGTCCCTTCCCTTACAAGGCTCTTAGAATCCTTGCATGTGGGTCTGGACCCTGACCCAGTGATTCAGCCTGCGCCTGGAAAACCCGCGCACCGGTCCTCTTGGAAGCAGCCACCTCCTGGAAGGTTATGTTCACCTTAACCACTCAGAACTACTGGGGGAAAAAATCCAGGCTGGGAGTCATAGTTTTCAGAGACTGAGAACTTCCCAGGGTCAGGAATCTCCCCTGAACACCCTCAGATCCCTTCCTTCAGCCAGCCCCTGGCACACAGTAGGTGCTCAATAAATACTCTCTACAGAGGCAGCACCCACAGGCTCCACGAAGCTCCTGCCTGAGCTCCCTTCTTCCTGTTCTCCACCACACCTCCTGCTGAGCTGCCTGCACCTGTAGGACCTGGAGCACACGCTGGCCAGCAGTGGTTGTTTTTTTTTTTTTTTTTTTTTCTCTCTCTCTCTCTTATTGTATTTGACAGAAGGAAGTCCATGCACGTGATTTTTGGCTCTACCCAGAAAGGGTGGTTACAGTTTGTCCTGCGGTGAAAAGCTCGGGAAGAAGAATGCAGGTTTCAGTCTCAATCCACATTGCTGCCAGTACTAGCTGAGAATTGTGGCCCCCACCAAAGCCTGGAAACATTTTATTTTCTGTATGTGGAATTACGGGCTACACGAGACCGGAGGAGGTGGCCACGAATAGCCCTGAGTGTGTTATACACCTGAGACCTTTACCAAATAAAGGCTCAGGAATTATTTGGTCTAGGCAGCCGCGAGGCTCGTGATTTCTTCAGAAACATTCACATCTGGGTAGGCCTGGTGTTGGAATATTCTTGGTGGGAAGCACTTTGAACCATACAGGCGCACTAACAGGCGATTGCTATGGAAACTGCACCTCCACCGAGCATTCTCAGAGTTCTCTTCCCGGGGCGCTTCAGGATCCACGGGGTGTCCTCGGTACGCCGCTCAGGGGTGGGAGCCTGGGCGCCACGGGGTGGGATGGGGGGCCACCCACCCGGGTTGGGGGGAACCCCAGCCCAGGATCCAGAGCTGGAGACTTGCGCCCAAGGTAGGGATCTGCCGGCGTGCGAGAGAGGCAAGAGTGGCAGCGGAGGCTCTGGGCGTGCAGCCTCCCCCACCCCCAGCTCGGCCGCCCGTGCACAGACCACGTGCAGCTGCGGCGCGTGGGGGCCCCTGGCGCGCAGCCGCGGTGGGTGCCGGCGCCGCGTCCCGGGCCCGGTGCACCGGGCGCGCGCCTGGCTGTGCGGGCCTGGGGCCGCCCGGCCGCCGCGCGCCCCTCGGGAGTGAGCGGGGGGAGCTTGGGCTTCCGCCCCGCGGCGCGGAGCCTGCGGCCGGCGCGCCGTGCGGGTGTGTGTGTGAGTGTGTGTGTGACAGTGTGTGTCAGGTGACTCGGGTCACGCAGTCTCCCTCTCCCTCCTCGGGGAGGAACTGCCGCGCTCCGGCTGACTCCTCCGCCGGCGGGCGGGGCGGGGGAGGGGGCTCCGCGCGCTCTGGGAGCCGCGGGACCCGGACCTGGGCGCCGCCCGCTGCGGGGGACGCACGGCCCCCGGCGAGCTCCAGACAAAACCTCCATTCAGAAATAGGTTGCGGGCGGCCGGCGAGGAGGCTTGGTACCCCCCTCCCTCCCCGATCCGGGACCCCCGCCGCCCGCCCCCGGGCCGGCCGGCCGGTGGGCGCGATGAGCCAGGTGCTGGGGAAGTCTCAGCCGCAGGACGGAGACGACGACGAGGAGGAGGAGGATGAGCTGGTGGGGCTAGCGGACTACGGGGACGGGCCCGACTCCTCGGACGCCGACCCGGACAGCGGGACGGAAGAGGGAGGTGAGCCCCCGGCCCCGGGCTCCGGCCCCGCGCGCCCCCAGCTCGCGCCCCTTCCCGCCCCTCCGTGTCTTCCCGCCCCTGGCCCAGCCGGGTGCGCGGGCCGCCGACTTGGAGGGGATCCAGGGAGCGGAGTTGGGGTGGGGGGTGGGGAGGGGCGCTGGAGGAGCGACCTCCAGCTCTAAGATTGGTGGTGTGGGGGGCGGTGCTGGCGGCGTTGGGGGACCGGTATCGGTGGCGAGGGAGAAGGGGGAAGCGTCCAGGGGGGAGGAACGCGCGCGCTCTGGCCCCTTGCAGGGCCAGTGCCTCTCCCCTTCCCCTGAGCTCTCGGCGGGGTCTGGGGGGGCTGTGGAGAGCAGGCGACTGCCGGCGCGCGCTGGGAGCGCTCGCTGGACGCTGCTGTTTAAGCTGGGGTCAGATGTCGTGGCTAAAAAAAGGCAGCCGGCGGCAGCGTGACTGGCAGGGTCGTGGGCAGCTGCGGGTGTCAGTCTCGCCCCGCGTCGCCGCGGGAGGGGTCCTGGGCTGCCCAGGTCTGCGGCGTGGGAGGACCCACGGGGCGGTGGAGGGGCGAAGCGCGCCCCCAGGAGCTAGGGGAGTCGCTGCGTGGCCGCGGGTGTCCCTGGAGCCAGGCAAACCCGGTTGTTGGGACACCTTATCGGCGCTCGGTGTCACCACCTGGGCATGGCAGTGCCTGCCCGGGAGCGAGCGCAGGGCGGGGAATTATTTGCCACTATGCAAACTCTTGTTTCCTGTTCAAAAAGCGGGTTTTAGCCGTCGTTCAACCTATGAGGGTTTCCTGCATTTTTTTCTTAAGGCCTAAGAAAGTTGAGAGCGTTTTAGGATTTCAGAAAAGAGTCAACTTTCTGATTTTCCTCAAAAGCGAGCAAAAGTCTGTTATTTGTAAGGTCACTCGGAGGGGGCGGTAGCACGGGGCTGTTAGGCTAGCAGTCTTCTCTGCCAAGGCTTGTGCATCTTGGAGAAGGAGTAACTTCTGTGATGTTTCACAAGGAAGAAATCCCATCCCAGGTGGAAGTATCTTTGTGGCGTGATTTTTAAGAACTTTTGTTGAGAATTCACTGCACTTATTTTAAGTTCCCTATGCAATGGCTTCTCCTGAGGCCAGTTTTCATTCTCCTACATGTGCTCGGCACGACTTCCCACGGACAGGGAATGAAGTTAACCGAGCCTTGTGCATCCAAGCCCCTCTGTTTTGCGGTGTCTTCTCTCCTGGGAGGATTTGCGCCAGTTCCCCATTTGCTTAAACTGGTGTGTGCACCTGTGCACCTCTCTCTGCACTCGGGTAATTGGCCCCTGGTGGAGCACCTGGCCACATTGTGGTGGAGAAAGGCTTTCACCGTTTTCTTTGGTGTCTCAAGGGCTACCTTCCCTAATTAAATTGTTGAGCCGCTTCATTATTATTCAGATTGCATTGGTTCGCTCCTCCCAGATTCTGTGGAGACTCCCAGAAATGCGGGATGAGATGTTTGAATATAGAGTACATGTGAGATACTCTTTATAAAAACAGAAAAGAAAAGAAAACAAAAAAGGTGTGGGAGAGGGGAGCCAAACCTGGGAGGAAGTTTTGCAACCGGATAGGAAAAGCACTAGACCTGTTTGTTTATTCTGCAGTTCTTTTGCGGGGGCACTTTTTGATTTGGGGACTTAAAATTGAAGTGAAATGAAAGGCCCTGCCCGAGGGGTGGGATTTCCTGGACAAAGGGCTCGCCCAGAGCCCAGACTCCCAGGCTCCCCTCTGTTGCTAACCTCCAGGCAGGCCGGCCTGAAACTGATGCTTTTGATGACTTCAGTAATAAAATCCTTGCCTGTGAGTTCTGGGGACTGGCCTGGAATCTTGGTCTAAGAGGCTGGAGTGTGTTTATGTGACGAAACGAGCCGCCGTGGCAGCCCCTGCTTGAGCTTGGCCTCTGTCCACCTGGACCTGCTCTGGGTCAGTGGTCTGCTTCCCTGGGTAAGCTGCCAGCCTCGGTGCGGTCCACGCTGCCCAGGCCTTGATGCAGGGGCTTGGGCCTTGGCATAGAGTCTCACTCAGAACACTTACTGTCTGCAGTGGCCGCTAGGTTTCTCATTTGGCAGTTCCAGCAAGGACTGTCCCTGATGGCTGTCAGGCCAACTGATAAGGTCTCTGGCATGTGTGGACTGCGAGGCCGGGGGTGGGGGGTGGGGGTGGGGTTGGGGGTGTCGTGCCTTCCCTTCCTGTGTGCTTCAGGAGCCTGGTGCGAGTGCCGCGTTACAATCCTACATTTACCTACTCACAAGCATAAGAAAGGGAATGTAGCAAAAAGAACGAGAAAAGATGGACATGGAGTGCTTTGACCATGAGCAAAGCATCTGTCTCCTGAGGCCTCCCCCCATTCTCCATCCCAGTGGACCTGAGGCTCAGCAATCTACCCTGGCAGGTGGGTGTGGGCGGGGGTGCAGGAATGACTGACAGCAGCAGCTAGACTGCAGGGCAGTTTGGGAGGAGCTGTGCAGGACGATGTGCACTGAAGAGGGGTAATGGCATTTTCATTGCCTTCACGCTGTAAGGTGTACACGGGGGCCTCCCATTGTACTTTTAAACTGAGTACCTTGAAGGTGCTGCCGCTTTGTGCTAAGTTTGAAAACAGTGCAGCTAAGGTGAGACTTAAATTGCAGTCCTTTGGCTTCTACTCCATATTTTATTCATGAATAGCAGGAGTGTTCTCCAGCACTTTGGTTCTGTTAAGGACAGATTTGGGCACCTCTCAACCCTCCTCTAGTGGCAGTTAATCACAAATAAGGTGAGTCTCACCTTCAGTCCCCTACTCTCCAGAGAAAACTCCAGAGAGGTGGCAATGATTAAGCCTTTAAAAACAATTGCATCATAGATAATGATTATTTTTGGACACATAGACTTTAAATCTTTAGAAATTATCGTGCTTGAAAAACTATAATAACAAGGAAAGCAGTTAAAGGATATTTAATCAGAAAGCAGCCTTTTCTCCTCCCTCCCGTCCCTCCCCTGTTTCTAGGGGAAACATGGCTAAGACAGCCACTTACCCATGGTGCACCTAAGCTAGGTGCTGGCTTCAGAGCTGGAGGCAGGAGGGCTCAGGGCCAGCAGGTGGTCCTTCCCCAGAGAGTGTATTTGTGGTGAGTCCAGAAGTTCCCATCTGATACTCACTAGTGGCAGCTTTTCCTTTTTTTTTTTTTTTTTCTGAAAATAATTTAAAATGATGAGTGGCTTTATCTTCTCGGTGTTCCTTGAGAATAAGTGGAGATAGTTGTTCCCTGGATACTGAGAGCATGGCTCACATGTAGGGGCCTGTCTGCAGCCTCATTATGAGTGAGAAGTGAGCAAGGTTTAGAAGAGGGGTCCAGTGTGTGGAAATGTTAGCCTTCTCCTTGAATTTCTGCCCTGTCCAACAAGAGCTGGGCTGATCCCAACCCTGGCCACAGCTAACTCTCTTGAATTTCCCTCTAACCCTGGAAAAACAGATACCGAAGAGTTGGAATAGTTGAAGCTGTATTTACAGAGCATATTTTTAAAAAGATTCTTATTTATTTTTATTTTTTTGCCAGGCAGAGTTAGAGAGAGAGAGAGAGAGAGAGAGAGAGAGAGAGAAAGGTCTTCCTTCCGTTGGTTCATTCCCCTAATGGCCGCTATGGCCAACGCTGTGCCGATCCGAAGCCAGGAGCCGGGTACTTCCTCCTGGTCTCCCATGCGGGTGCAGGGACCCAAGCACTTGAGCCATCCTCCTCTGCCCTCCCGGACCACAGCAGAGAGCTGTACTGGAAGAGGAGCAACCTGGACTAAAACCCAGTGTGCTGGTGCCGCAGGCGGAGGATTAGCCAGGTGAGCCACGGCGCCGGCCTAAAAAGATTTTTAGATTTAATTTTGTTTATTTAAAAGGAAGAGTTACAGAGAGAGGGAGGGAGAGAGATCTGTGTGCTGGTTCACTCCCCAGTAGGCCACAACAGCCAGGGCAGGGTCAGGCCAAAGCCAGGAGCCAGGAGCTCCACTTGGGTCTCCCGCATGGGTTCAGGGGCCCAAGTACTTGGTCCATCCTCTGCTGCTTTCTCCCAATGCACTAGCAGGGAGCTGGATTGGAAGCCGAGCAACCAGGACTCATATGGGATGCAGGCAGTGTGGGCCACTTAACCTGTTAGACCACAATGCCAGCCCGAGAACGAGAACGTATTTTCAGGGCAGATATTTTATAAACATGTTTTAGTGACTCAGGGATCATAGAATCTTGATTCTCTACTTCTGTTAGCAATCTCTCCCATGTCAGTATTAGAACATGTAGTCGTCTAAAGAAAGTAAGAGGCAGAAACAGTGAGTTCTGGCTGAGAGAGTGGCTCTGAGTGTGAGAGCTCATCTTTGCCTTTTAAAGGCCCCAGACAGAGTTCAGCTCCTGCTTCATCCTGCCCGCCCCCTACCGCCATGGATGCCGCTTCTTCTCTGACTCCTTTATTCTTTTTATATCCTTTTCCCATCTCACCCCTTTGATTCTCCCTCCAGCAGAGCCTGAGAGCTCTCTTACGACGGTGGCTTTCCCTGGTTCTGCTGGGACACTTCAGACAAATGGGGTTTTTCACTTTCTCCTCTTGCAGACTGCTAAGGACCATGGCCCCATTTCTCTGTAAAATAGGGGACTACAGAAAATTACCTTCATTCCCTGTGAAAGCACTTGTTACAGAGTCCACGAGAATACTTTTCCTGCAGGAGCGCTGTTAAACCAGAGCACAGCAGAGGAGTTATTGGAAATAACGTTGCATACGCATGTATGGCATCATGTTTCTTAGTTACATGAATTTTTGCTCATGTGTAAAACCATTATGCCTTTAAAAATATATATTCTGGTTGCATCTAAATTCCTCTAAGTAGATAATCAAATGGACAGCCACCTCGCAGGAGTTTTGCATATTCTATTATTATTCATACAATTCGTTCTCACTTGGGTTGGAATTTCCTGTAGAACTCCTGGGTCTTGAATGTTTACATAGTCCCCATCAATCAA